ATACGATAAACCCACAGCTCACATTATATTGATTGGGAAAAAATTCAAAAAAACTCATAAAAGTTTTTTTCTGAGAACTGGAACAGACAAAGATGTCCACTTTCTCAGCTCTTATTTAAATGTAGTTCTAAAAAGCTAAAGCAATTAGAAGAGGGAAAGAAATTAGGAGAAGCCCCAAATGAGAATTCAAGGTAAGTTTTGAAAGAATATATATCACTTTTGCATCATTGTGGAGTTGGAAAATCTTGAGTCAAACCATAAACCAGAAATCACTTGTACACACTACCACAAACTGGATGGATTCAACAACCAAAATTTATGTTTCACAGTTCTGAAGGCTGAGAAGTCCAAGGTCAACGTGCTAGCCTGTGCAGCTCCTGGTGGGACCTGCAGCAGAGAGCCACCTTCTTGCTGTGTCCTCCCATGATGAGGAAGAGTGCTCTCTGATGTCTCCTTTAACAAAGGAACCAGCTCTATTGGATTAGGACCTCATCTTTCTGACCTTGTGTAACGTTGATCACTTCCTAGCAGGCCCTATCTTCAAATACGGTCATATAGGTTAGAGTTAGGGTTCATATGAATTTTGGGAGGACACTTATGTTCAGTCCATAATACCAGGTTAGCCAAGGGGGAAAAAAAAAAAGACACAAATACCAGAAATGAAAGGGGGACCTTCATTGCTGATCTCATGGGTATTAAAAGGATAATAAAGGAATATTATGAACAACTTTATGCTCACAAATTTGTTAACTTATACGAAATAGGCCAATTCTTTGAAGAATACAACTTACTAAAATCCATACAAGGAAATATTATAGGCATATACATATTAAAGAAATTGAATCAATATCTAACCTCCTAAAACCAGGCTCAGATGTGTTCACTGGTGAATTCTATTAAACATTTAAGGGAAAATGATACTAATTCTCTACTGTCTCTTCCAGAAAACAGAAGTAGAGGGAATACTTTCTAACTTCTTCCATAAAGCCAGCATTATCCTAACACGCAAGCCAGATAAAGACATTACAAGAAAGAAAAACGACTGATCAATCCCTGATGAACACAGAGGCAAAAATCCTTAACAAAATATTAGCAAATTGAATCCAATGATGTGCAAGAAAAATTATATACAGTAACTAGGTGGAATTTATCCCAGGATATATAGTTTACTCAATATGCAAAAATCAATGAATATAATCTATTACATCAATTAGCTAAAGAAGATTAAAAAAACATAAGATTATACCATTAGGTGCGGAAAAAGCATTTGACAAAAGCCAACATGCATTTATAATAAAAACTCTCAGCAAACTAGGAACAGAGAGGAAATTTCTTAATTTGATAAAGAATATCTACAAAAAAAAAAGTATGGCCAACATCATATGTTTTAAAAATGATTTTTATGGGGCCAGCAGGGTATCATGCTGGGTAAAGTCTTTTCATAATCTAAATGATGTACAGCGATTTAATGAAAAATAATAAAAATAAATAAATAAATAAAACCAAAAAACCAACAAAATCAATCTCTTTCAAAAAAATAATGAATTTCCTTGTGGCTGCAAAACTGAGGCCCTCAGGTCCTAGTGGCTGCATGTCATTTCCTGACATGTGGCCTTTTCTAGAAGGTGACAGTTTGGTTCCAGGTGAATAGGAAAGTATCTCAGCTGCCTTGACTCTGTCTGACTTCAGTAAAAACCCAGTCTCTTTCCAAGTCTCATCTGATTAGGCCAGGCCCACCCTGGGTAATCTTCATTTGGATTAGTTCAAGGTCAGTTGGTTTGGAACCTTCATTATCTCTGCAAATCCTTCATCTTTGTCATACAACAGCCGAATCACAGGAGTAAAATCCACCAGACTTGAAGGACTGCCCACACACTCAAGGCGAGGGGATTATACAGGACATATAAGACAGGGTACAGGAATCTGGAGGTTGTCTCAGAATTCTGTCTCCCACATGGATAATTAATCCTGATAAAGTTAAAGCTGTCAAGTTAATCCTCCTATATCAAGCTACTCATCACACTGCCCTTCTCTTGAAATAACCTTCAATAGTTTACAAAACAGAGAGAATAAACTCTAAATTATTAACCTGATATTCAAGGTTTGTCTTAACTTTGAGCCAGTCTTAACATTTTTTTGGGAAGAGGTTTTTCGCTATGGGGCGCGTGCGCTCACCAGACAGAGAGAGACATAGAGACAGAAAGCGAGAAATCACCCCCCAGGGGGGATGGTCACGCCACAATCTCTTCTCCATTCTCCTCTCAGGATCTTGGGCACGCACGCACACGCGCCCGGCGTGAGTTTTAAGCCACCGGGTCCGGGACGCGAACTGCGGTCGACTACGTGGGAGTCCAGTGACATAGCCGCTAACTGCTGGTTCCCGCCAGTCTTAACATTTTTAAAAAATTATTTTATTTAATTACTTTAATTTGACCAGAGGGACAGAGTGAAAGAGAGAGAGAGAGAGATGGAAAGTGAGAAACAAGCCACCAGGTCCAGAACCCGAAATATGGTTGGCCATGTGGAATGCAGTGCCCTTAGCCACCATGCCACCTGCTGGCCCAGGGCCAGGTAACATTTTAAACCCTAACTGCCCAGGTCCTCCTCAATGAGCCCTTGGCACAGGGTCCCTTTGCTCTGCCCCTCACTTACCCTAAGTTCTCTCGGTGCTTTTTGCACTCTTTCTCTAAACCTAGTTTACCACCACCCACCCCACCCCCCTTACCTTTAAATGTTTATACTGCCTTCAAGATATTGCATCCACACCTGTATAAAACCCTTCTTGACTCTGGATTTACACTGAGGTTATCTTCATTTGAACTTGTTCTAAAAAACAGTGGTAGACTGCAAAATATGACCATAAACTTCTCATCCCTGCATACACATCCTTTTGCAAAGTGACACTGAAACTCATCCCAAGAGATGGATAGGATTTCCCACCTCTTGATTCTGGGGTAGGTCCCATGACTTTCTGTAGCCAATGGGGCACTAGTGAATGTGAGGCAAGCACTAAAAAGTACTCGTGCACTGGGCTTGCCCTCTTGCTGTCTCAGGAACTCTGCTGTCGCCACTCAGTGACTGACACTGGACAGCTTCCTGGCTAATGAGGGTCATGTGGTCAAGTCACGGGGTGACTGCCACATAAAAATAATGAAGTTGAACAGAGAGAGAGAGAGAGAGAGAGAGAGAGAACAGGAAAGTGAGAAAACAAGCCACCAGGTTCAGGACTCAAACTGCAGTTGGCCATGTGGGAGTACAGCGCTTTAACCACCACATCACCTGCCGGCCCCCCATGTTTATTGTTTTAAACATTTCTTTTACTCAGTTTTAAACCTCAGTGCAAAGGAGAAGAGCTCATGGTAAACAGTAAGTTAAGAGAACGTGGGGAGACTCAAAAGCCATGGGGATGCCAGCAAATTAACCAGTATCACTTAAAACCACCTGCAGCTAGGCTAGATGTGGCTTGACGAAGGTGGCTGGACCCCACAAGGCCATCCATGGAGTTCAAGCCTCAAACCCAGACACTTTAGAAACATGCCAGGCGCAGGTACTCACATGCCCGAGATCCTGAAAAAGGGAAAGATGGAGGAGAAGGGATTAGCCTCCATGGGGGAAGGGGTGCTTTCTCACTTCTCCTCTCTCTGTCTCTCTCTCTGGCAAGCACATATACCCTCTAGCAAAATTTTAAAAAGAAAAAAGTATACAGGTTCAAATCTGAGGACACAGATACAAAAAACAACCATTGCTGACTGACTTTTCACTCTGGGGGCATCTTAAATACCCGTATTTTCCAATAAACATTGGAAAACTATACCCCAAAATTCCAAAGAGATTGGTTTTAAGGTCACAGAAGTCATTCATATTGGGCAATAGGAGAACAAACATTCTCAACTTCCAGAGAAATGTTAAGCAGGAATTCTATACATATACTAAACCTTTTACAATCAGAAAAAGACTGAGTCCTGGACCAGGCTCATAGTACAGTGGCTAACTCAGCGCATTGGGAGCTTCATCACACAGGGCCTACCATGGTTCAAAGCCCTGCTCCAGTGGCTTGAGAAACTTGCTGTGTGTATGTGCATGCAATCCTCGAATCCTGATGAAATGGAAAAATGGAGGAGAAAGAATTGCAGAGCGACCATGTCCTGCCGCTTGAGCGCGCGCTCTCTCTCTCTCTGTCTTATAAATGCATATGCCTTCTGGCAATTAAAGAAAAAAAAATAAACAATGAAAATAAAAACAACTGCGTTCTGAGAAAGTACACCAGGGAGCCTACCGAAGTGCTAACTTGTCCAACGTGCCATAAAAATAAGCCTACAAATGCAAAACCCAAAACAGATACATTCTATCTCTAGTAATACAATTCCTGATAATGTAATAAGTAATACCTAGACCTTTATGAGACAAGTATCACAAGTAGAAAAACCCATTTGGCTTGCCTCTCACATAACTCACATTTCCCGATAGTTGGAACTGTGCTGGTACATCCATCTATAGTGGGAGCACTTTGTACCTAGATGTGCTCTTTTTGCTTTTCCTTTTCCTTTGGACAGGGTCTCAAATGGTAGCTATCTTCCTGCCTCAGCCTCCTGAGTAGTTGGGACTACAGGTGTGCACTACCATACCCAGCTTTCAGGGTGGGCCAGAAACTGATTGTGAGTCTTCCCTTCTCTGCTGCTGATCAGCAGTGTGAACTGATACATACTAGAGCAGTTGGGCCTGGATCTGCCTCTTTAAAAAGTTATGACAGTGTGTGCATGCACATGTGCAACAGAGAGAGAGAGGGGAACAACTCCACAGAGCTCAGTTATGCCAGAAACGCCTTCCCCCAGTCCTCTAGCCACCAAGCTCCTGGGCACGTGCACTCATGCCCAAAATATTTCCAGGGCAACCAGGCCAGGGCCTCGAGCCAAAGCTGGCATATGACTACCAGTGGAATGTGTCTAAAAATGTCTACAAATGAAAAAGAGAATTTTTTTTTTAAAAAATGAACAGCTTACTCTTCTGTTGGCGTGTTAGTGCCGGACTCCTTTCTTGAATCAGGAGAGCTGGAAGTTTGTAAAAGACAAAGATTTCTCTCGGTAGATAGAACACCTCTTTCTTGTTCAGCACGGATGGGCCTCGAGGCCTCTGCTCCATCTTCGGCCTCTACCATGTCACCTGGACTTGGCTGTGGTTCTGGACTCCTTAACATCAGATCATCTTCACTCACGGAAACTGTGAGGTCACTGCTGCTGCTCTCACTTTCCTCCTCTTGCTCTTCCTGTGTTTTTCTGAAGAGTCCCTGTGACTCTGGGTCTCCATGAGCAAGACGATCTGTCAAAGGAGATATGAATGGATTAATAATCACCAACTTTACAAAGAAACAAGGCACCTGAGAAAGAAATTACTCATCAGTTAAAAATACTGGGGCCAGCAGGTGGCATGACGGTTAACGCACTGGATTCCCGCATGGCCAAGCATGGTTCAGGTCCCAGATCTGGACGCTGGAAAAATCATGCTGGGTACCTGTATGTGCATGCCCAGAATCCCAAGAAAAAAACAGAGAAGGGACTGTAGTGTGGCCATGCCCCTCTTTCTGTCTCTCTCTGGCAAGTGCACGTGACCTATAGCAACACCACCACTCCCAAAAATGTAACAACAGGGCCAGCCTCATAGCATAGTTGTTAAGTCCTGTGTAGAGGGACCTGGAGCCCATGTGGCTGACCACAGTTCCAATCCTGGTCCTGGCAGTTTGGAAAACACACCGGGTGTGTGTATGTGTGTGTCTAAAATCCCGATGAGATGGAGAAACAGAGGAAGGGACTACAGTGTGCTCACTCTCTTGCATGTGTGAGTGCCTGCTCCCATTGGCAATTAAAGAAAAAAGAAGAAAAATTTTAAAAAAAAGTATAGCAATTATATCCACACTAATTAGAGTATTTAAAAACTCAAAAATATTTTAAAACGTCTTTTAAAATATTACGGTGGGTTTAAAAATCAAATTCATCTGCAAAAATATTTCCATATGCATATCTAAGAACTCAGTTGAATGGAATGTATTGGCAAACTATTTTATTTTTGACAAAGGGATAAATAGTATATCTTGTCTTTCATAAATCACTATCATCCAGAAAAACTAAATACCAACAGTCAGCACAGGAACCCAGCCTCTCACCCCACCTGAGAAACCTTCCCCAGCAGCACGCTTCTCTTGAGACCACTTATTTCCAGATGCACCGTCTTCTGAAACTGATACCGCCGAGACTGGCGGCCTGGCTCTTTCTTCCTCGACTTCAATATGTTCCCGTGTCAGTATTTCTTCCTCTGATCTGCTGGAACTGTCACACTTTAAATCAGTGGTTCTGTTCTCTGGACTTAATCTTCCCTGTAACGGGGAATGGAGTTCAGCAGACTTTTTACCTTCAGATAAATTACTCTTGCCGTGACGGGTGCTGCTGCCTATCTCCAAGCAATGAGTTTGTTCCTCCTCAGACAATACACCGGCTCTGACTGGCGTCTTCTCACCAATCTGAAGAGATGTCTTTCCGTCTAGTTTGTCAGACTTGTTTAAGCACTGTGTGTCACTACTAGTCTGTACTACATAGCTGTCTGTCACATCACTGCTCTGGGCTGTCTGTCGGTATGAATGTGGGTCAGGAATTGAAAAGTTCTTTGTAGGCTGGGGAGATTTCTGCTCTGTGCTGAGATCTCCAATGCTTGAAATGGCTGACACTTGGTGGCCCATAAAGATTGTTGCGGGTTGATACAATCCTCTTGACACGGCCGTCCCTGCGTTAATTCCTGCTTGTGTTGCAATCTGCAGCACCAAAGGAATGTGAGTTAAACATATTCTGCATAAACAATTAGGTTGTTTTCAGAAATGAAAGGATGTAAAGGAAGCGTGATTATTAAAATCAGCACCTATTATGCTTTATAAAACTGGCTTACTACGCAATAAATGAACAAAAAGCAGTATAGTCTACACTATTTTAGTAACAATGTTGGTTCACAATGCAAGTATAGTCAAAGAGCTGCAGAATCTATATTTTTGGAAAAAGAAATGAATGCGTGATACATTATAAATGTACTTAAATGCAACTGAACTGTCTACTCAAAAATGGTAAATTCTGTTATATTTTACCAACATGACAAACTGATTAACAAAAAGCTGTGAGCACTAAAAGCTCTCCACAGAGAAGTCTGAATTCAATAGTAAGAAGGTAAATGACCAAAAAAAGCAGAGAGAGAGGGAGAGATGAGCAAACAAATGACTGATGGAAGTTTTAAAACTATTTCTAGAATTCCATGTCTTATGAAAAAAATTCTAATAATCACCTTCAGGATAGTATTCAAGTATACTGTATTATGTATAAAATATTCATAATTTCTAGTCAAACTGTAAGTAATAATATTAGTTTTTGCTGAATATCTTCAAGTAATCTTTTTTTATTTAATTTTATTTTGCTTATTATTTTTCTTCGATTTGACCAGAGTGAAGCAGAGAGAGAGTGTGAGAGGAAGACTGAGAAAGTAAGCCACCAGGTCTGGGAATCAAACCATGGTTGGCCATGTAGGAGTCCAACATCTTAACCTCTACACCATCTGCTGGTCCCTCTTAAAGTAATCTTAAAGACATGTAAAGCAGAGCTGGCCCTTAGCACAGCAGTTAAGTGGTACGCATAGGAAGCTGGATCCCACATGGCCAACAGCAGTTCAAATCCTGGCCTCTAGTGCTTGAAAAGCATGCTGTGTGTGTGTGTGTGTGTGTGTGTGTGTGTGTGAGTGTGTGTGCACATGTGTGTGCATGCACATGCATGTCCAAAATTCTGATGGGATGAAGAAATGAAGGAAAAAGGACTGTGGCATGATCAGGCCCCATGAGGGATACTTCCTCTCTCTGGCAAGTGCACATGCCTTATGGCAATAATTTTTTTTTAAAGTCATGGGACAAGCAGATGGCATAATGGTTATGTTACTAGATTCTCATTAGTCGACTAGGGTTTGAGTCCCAGAACCGGTGGCTTAAAACTCATGTTGGGCATGTGTGAGTGCATGCCCAAAATCCTGATGAGGGATTGGAGGAGAAGGGATTGCAGCATGGCCATCCCCTCTGAGCAGTGATTTCTTGCTTTTTGCCTCTTTGTCTCTCCAGTGAGTGCACATGCCCTATAGCAAAAATATCTCTCTGAAAATAGGAAGTCACACTATTAAAAAATAGTTTAAGCAATTTAAATTTGCTGCTATACCTATGGGGAGAAAGCATTATCAGAGAGAGAGAGAAAGAGGAGAGGGAAACAGAAGCAAGTGGTGCAGTGTCTTGATCCAGGATGCACAGGGAGAAGCAGCACTTTTCTTTCAAGGGGACTGTTTCCACACACATAAGAGCATTTATTCCACCAAGGCATACAGAGTAGCTAGGATAATGTATTTGCACCACTCCTCTGCAGGCAGAAAAACTGAAGTTCAAATTTTAGAAGAAAAAAATGTTATACACACAGTTGAACAGAGGTCAGGTCTTGCTTTTCATCAAATAAACTGTGTTCTATTCCCATAATAAGAGGAACAAGTTTAAAGTTAACAGCAAATGAACAGGAATCTCAGAGAATATGATGAAGTAAGGCCTCTGAAAATTCTGTTCCCTAAAATAAATAATTCTGTAAAAAAAACTGTTAGAATAATTTTTCAGAACCCTGGAAATTAACAACAGACTTGTAGCAATCTAAGGGACACTTACTCAAGAAAAACAGCTGAATCTTGATAAGAACAGTGAGCTCTGTATCATAATAACTTACCTTTTTCCCTCTCTCCCCTCCCCACATCTGTGGTAAATCTGAAAGTCAAGAGGCTATACTCACAGTGAAAACCAGCAGCCTAGCAACCATTGGAAGGTTGGAAGCAGAACAGGGATGGAATTCCTTTAAAATCCCTTTTCCAGAGAATTACCACTATCTGGCCAGTTTGGTGGCTTCCTGAAACACTCCACTTAGAGGAGTCTTTATCTGACCCAACATGGAGCTCACCCAGTGTAAGCATCATTTTCCATGTGGCGTGTTTGTTGAAAGTAATCAGGGGCAATTGTTTAACATTGTGGCTGCCCAAGATAGTAGAGAACAGTGCAAACAAGAGGTTAACCAAAAACTTAAAAGGAACAGTTGGTGAATAAGATGCCCATAGAGAGATTTCAAAGCTCTAAATATTTCCAGGAACCCAGATGGTCACCTGCATGCCCAGGGCTGTGTACACACTCAAGAGAAACCCTAAGCTCCCACCCCTGGCTTACCTTGAGGTTCTGTGTGAGCAGGAAGTGAAGGCTAAGGTGGAGTTATAAACTGCTGATATGAGTGTTGAAGGTGTGCCCCCACATACACCTGAAGCCCCTTGGTAATAATCATGAGAGTTCTGGTTCTTAGAATTTAAAGAAAGCTCCAATAACTGTGGATCACTATGATAACCGAACAGACACTTCAGTAACCACAAATGAAAATGAATGCAGACTTTACATAATCAGCTAAGAAAGTCACTAAACGTGCATATGACAAAATAAACAGCAAAAACAATTCTGGAAGGGGAAGATTCTAATTTTCAAAGTTGTCATAATTTATTACTTAAAATATCCAAGTTTCAACAAATAATTATGAAACATGAAAAGAAACAAGAAAATATGACCTATGCCCAAGGGGAAAAGTCAATAGGAACTGTTCTTGAGGAATCCCAAGCACTGAACTTACTAGATAAAGAATTTATATTAGCTATTTCAAATGTACTCACAGAACTGAAGAAAATCATATCTAAGAAACAATATCTAAATAGAGACTATCAATAGAAATGAAAAAAATAGAACCAATTAGAAATTCTTCAACTAAAAGTGCATGTTAAAAACAAAACCAACCAACCAACCAAACAAAAACCCCAGAAAACCAAGAGCTCAGCAGTGTATTTGAATGGGCAGAAGAATTAACAAACTGGAATATAGGGCCACTGAGATTACCTAGTATGAGAAAAAGGAAAAAAAATGAACACAGCCTCAGAGATTTCTGAGACGCCATGAAACATACTAACATACACATAGTGGAAGTCACAGAAAGAAAGGATAGACAGAGAGTCTTGAAAAAATAGGGCCAGCAGGTGGCATGGCAGTTCAGACACTGGACACTCCCACATGACTGGCCATGGTTTGAGTCCTGGACCTGGTGGCTTGGTTTCTCACTTTCTCTCTTGCTTGTGCACACACTCTCTCTCTCTGGTCAAATTAAATGAATGAATAAATAAAATTAAATAATTATTTTTTAAAAATAGTAATATTGGCAAAAACTTGTCAAATTATACATCAGGGAAGCTTAACAAGGTCTGAGTAGTATTAACTAAAGAACATTCCCACCTGGACACATCATAACTAAACAATTAAAAACAGGCCTGGCTGTGGTGGCATCTGTTAAGATGCTGCTGCTCCACAGACTGAGGCCACATGGGAAGCCCAGGTTCAATTCCTTGCTCAACTTGAAGGCATGTATCTATAGCCCCGGCTACTCAGGAAGCTGAGGAAGGAAGATCATAGATTCAGGGCCAGTTTGGGAGACAGAAAGATCTAGACAAGAAGAATATTGGGCTTGTACTACTGGTTAAGGAAGCCAGATCCCACATGGCTGACCACAGTTAAAATGCTGGCCTTGGGACCAGCAGATGGCATAATGACTACATTGCTGAACTCCCATGTAGTCGACGGCAGTTTGAGTCCTGGACCTGGTGGCTTAAGCTCACACCAGGCGCATGAGCGTGCGTGCGTGCCCAAGATCCCGAAAGGAGACTGGAGGAGAAGAGATTGCAGCATGGCCATCTCTCCCTGGGGGGTGATTTCTCACTTTCTGTTTCTCTGTCTCTTTCTGGCAAGCACACGCTTCCTATAGCAAAAACCTCTCATACAAAACAAAATAAAACAACAACAAAATAAAACCACAATCCTGGCCTTAGTGCTTTAGAAAACATAATTACCTAAGAAAGTCACTAAATGTGACTGGAAAGAAACAACAGTCAAAATAGTAAGCCGTGCAATTAAAAAAAAAACTGCATGAAATCACAATTTAACTTACAGTAAATGCTTCCAGAATCATGGAAAGCAAAACAATGACTAATTCAAGAGACAGCGCTGTTAACAGAGGTTTACTTCCTGAAAAGGTCATTTACAACTCTATGTTATTAAGTGTTCTGCAATTTTGCCACACATCGCCAGATTTCTCAAAATACTGAAGTCGGGGTCTTTAACAAACTCTAGTAATATACTAATTGATGAAAACATTGTATTTTAGAGACCTATAATAAATCAGGAGTGAAAATGTTGCCCTTAATTATGAATAAAAGTCAAAGTTTATGAATTGGTACATCATTTACACATAAGGGCCAAAACAAACAACTTGCATTTAAGATGTGCCAAGAATGAGCAGGAAGGTTTTTCTGATATATTTCTAGTTATTACTTTTTTTTTTCTTTTTTGGGGAGATTTGGGCATAACTTTTTATTTTGATATAATTTCAAATTTAGAAAGAAGTTGTAAGCATGATTAAAAAAAAAAAGGAAAACAACAAAATAACTCCCCTAACAAGCTTGAGCCAGATTTACCAATTAGTTAAGTTTTGTCCCATTTGTTTTATTATTCTCTCTCCCTCTACATATGTGTTTATCTGTGTATACTTACATATATGCACACTATTTTTTCCTGAATAATGTAAGGGTAAGTCAAGACATTCTGCCTTTTCCACTAATATGTGTAATTCCTAAGCACGGGAATATTCTTTCATGAACACAGTTCATGATCAAAATCAG